GAGTTTAATTTAGCTGCTATAAGCTCAAGAAAGTAAGAAGCCACTTATGCTGATATAGCAATAATGCTGATTCGATCTGAGTCTCTTTTTTTTTAAATCAGTACTAATCAAGGAAAAATATCACATTATCTAAATCTCTCACTTGTCTTCTCACATTGTCTTGTGATATATGAAAAGTAAAAGTTCAGAAATGTTCATTTTACATTCAAATAGAGTTAACTTTTCGTTATGTTCTTCTCTCATTAGATGTGTGTATGGAACCATATACGACCTCATTAACCTATAAGACTGGGACATCTCCAGTTTCTATAGCAGTTGGTAGTTTTACTAACACTAAACACCTAGATATCATAGTGGCCAATCAAGGAGATGATGATATAATTGTGCTTCTTGGCAAAGGAAATGGGATGCTTCAAGCTGGAGTTATGTATGGTACTGGTCCCTTACCTCGAGTTATGGTATCAGCTGATTTTAATAATGATAAACGACCGGATCTTGCTGTGAGCAATTCGGGAGCAAATACACTTAGTGTGCTGTTTGGCAATAGTAATGGTACCTTTCAGTCTTCGATGAACTTGAGAGTTGGCTACCAACCGTTGGGTCTGGCATCAGATGATTTTAATGGTGACAGCAATATGGATCTTGTTGTGACCAACAGTGGCGAGAATACAATTAGCTTGATGCTTGGTAATGGGGATGGAAGCTTTAACATACAAAGTACATATGCGACTGGTCGTACTCCGTTTGCTATAGTATCCGGTGATTTCAATAATGACAACAAGACAGATGTGGTGGTGGCCCACCTACAAGACAACACCATGCGCACGTTTCTGGGTGATGGGAATGGACTTTTCACCGATCAAAATCAGTATGAAACCGGTCTAAGTCCATTTGCGCTAACGTCATGTGATCTTAATAATGATAATAGACTCGATGTGATAGTGGTTAACTCAGGTGATAATACTATAAGCGTATTTCTTGGCAGCTTGAACGGTACATTTCAGACTCGGAAGTCCTTTGGTGTTGGTGGCTCTCCTGAATGGGCGACAGCAGGTGATTTTAACAATGATGGCAAAATGGATATAGCTGTCATCAACTTCTTGGAAAGTACCGTCAGCATACTGCTTGGTAATGGCGATGGAACTCTCCAGGCTCGAATGGACTATGGAACTGGTCCTAATCCGATGTCTTTAGTATCAAGTGATTTCAATAAGGACAGAAATCTTGACCTAGTAACAGCCAATAACGAGGGAACCATAATCAGCGTTTTGTTAGGTTTCGGCAATGGGTCCTTTCAGACTCAGGTCACGTATGCTAGTGGTATTGGTCCAATTTCCATAGCAGTGAATGATTATAACAATGATAGTCAAACGGATCTGGCCGTAGCTAACTACTACGAAGACACTATTAAGGTGTTTTTTGGCAAGCCCGATGGAACCTTTGAAACTGAAGCTCAGTATGGTGCTGGCAGCAGCCCATCCTCTGTAATATTAGGTGATTTCAGTAATAATAACATTTTAGATGTGATAATCGCGAACTTAAACGATGATACTATCAGTTTGCTACGCGGCAACGGTAATGGGACATTTCAGAATCAAATTAAATATTCAACTGGTACTCATCCTTCTTGTGTCATATCAGGTGATTTCAACAATGATCAAAGCATGGATGTAGTAGTGTCCAACTATGCAGACAACACCATCAGCTTGCTGCTTGGCAATGGTAATAGTACTTTCCAGACTCAAAAGAACTATACGGTAGGTATCAGCCCTACATTCATGATATCCAGTGATCTCAATACTGATGGCAAATTAGATGTAATAGTGATCAATTCAGGTGAAGACACTTTCAGCGTGTTACTAAATAATGAAAATGGAATATTTCAGACTTCTACTAAGTATGCTACAGGAAAGATTCCATACTCTGTGACATCAGGTGATTTCAATAACGATAAAATACTGGATCTGATAGTTGCTGATTCAGGAGAAAACACTATTAGTGTATTTTTTGGCAATCCAGATGGAACCTTTCAGATTCGAAAGAATTATACCGTAGGTCGCAACCCAGTTTCTATAGTATCAGGTGATTTTAACAATGATAACAAAATGGATATAGCGGTGACTAATTTTTTGGAAGACACTGTCAGCATTTTGCTTGGTACTGGTAACGGAACATTCTACACTGAAATAAAATATCTAACTGGCAAGCATCGGTGCGTGTAAAATCAATGAATATTTTATTACTATCGACGACAACAAACGTATTCATATCATACTTTTTCTTGAGCATATGGTCCTTTAGTCTATTGTACACTGCTGCAGGTCTGCATGTATAACTGTCCATTTTACCATCAGGTTGTGTTGCGATATCAAACATCAGAGTTTTCAATGAGACTCCAATGGGTGATTGCTCATAGTTTTCTGAAATCGGTGCCAATGAAGTTATCGAAATAGGTTCAACGGTCAATTCAAATAACGATGGAATTTGAACGTCTTTAATTATTGGTGATGATAGTTCATTTTTGTTAGATTCATTAACTTGTTCATTTACCGACTCATCAGTTTTAGATTGATTTATTTCGTCATCGGAATGTTGCGGTTCAATACGACGAGTGAATCCTTCCCAATCATCTTGTTCCGTATCATCAACTACAGTTGGACGAAAACGATTTCCTCTAATTTGTTGTTCTATTTGATTGGATTCTTCATCGAAATTTTCATTCCATTGTTTTGTATTTTCTTCTTCAATATTAATTGTTTTCTCTTGCAATTTAGATCGAACTTGAATCAATTGAATATTCAATGAGACATAGTTTTCGCATTTGATTTCTTCAGGAATAATAGAAAGGATTGAATTTTCGATACTCATGTATGTACACGTTTGAGCTAAAGGTTTTGCGGCTTGTTGAACAAGTGTATCTTCAATGTTTTTTAAATCCTCCAAAAGTCGATCGATATCTTCTATATTTGATTGCAATTTTTGGACAATTATAGTTTTATCACCGTTGTTATCGTCAGTATCGATTAGTTCCTTTTTAAGTATATTATTAAGTTGTTCGCTTAGTTCGGACAACATGGGCATTTGAAGTAATGGAGAAGTATCTGAGAACAAGTGTTCGAATCGTCTGATCAAATCTTTGTACAATTTGCCAACATGATTCATATGACATAGTTGAAAATCTTGAACTTTATATTCGTTCAGTTTTTCAATAATTTGATCCTTATCTTCAATTGTTTCAATATACTCAAACAAACGCATATCAGATCGATTACATGGTTCATTTTTTAATGTTGAAGCAATTTGTCTTAATATATTATAGCCAGGATAAAGTTGATCGATTGGCATCACATACAAATGTCTCCAATCGGTTTCAAGTGGCATTGAATAGTTTTCGTCCAATTTAAACATATCATCATCGTTCATCGTAACAACATTTGTAATTTTTCGTGGTACAAAAAACATATATTTTTGAGCGATATGTTGATATTTGATATGACAGAGAAGTAAATATGTTCGAATAACATATGATTGAACGTACAAATAATCAAAATTGAGTTTTGTATCATATGTTGGTAAAAATTCATCTTCAAGAATAAGATTTGCACATGCAAATTTTTCAATCCATGAACAATCATCGTCATTCAAGCAGATAACACCCGTGTTTTCTTGCATGACTTGTGTAATGGAAATTTCTTTAGTTATTATCTTATCAATCAAATACTTGATTGTATCCATGCCTTTATGTTGGTTAGAGTCAAATTCATGCTGAATTGTATCCAAAAAGTTGTTGTGATAATCGATGAGAATACTTAAAAGATTGAAGAAAAAGATGAAAAAATTAAGTGAATTTATATAATACAAGGAAAAGAACTATGAAAGACAAAGAAATCTTTGAAAATGTTCAATCACTTCTCAATCCAAATTTTATTCATTTGTTATGTTCAGATGAATAATAGAAAAGCATGTAATTGTTTGATTTTTCTGACTTTTGTTTCTATAATAATTGAAATTTTCAACATAGTACTCCTGTTAGTTCTCTTCAGATCATTCGAATTTCGATCTATTATTTTGAAGGGATAAATTCATAGTGAACATTTTTTTTTATGCCATTGTCTGAGTACAGAATATTTCGTGTAGTTTCCAAGGAAAAGCTATGGTTCCACTATAGTTACCTTGAAACTCGACTTTCAAATTCAATCCTCAAACTTTACACATATACTTAGGGTATACCAAAAATACTGGCAGTGACACTTTAATACCGTATAGTAGCCTTTAAGAAAGTTTCTTTCTACATAGTATGATAGAGAAAAAAATGCTCTATCTTTCTATCCTATTTGATCGTACTTCATCTCATCTCATAATATTAAATTATCCATAAAACCAATTTCGGCTGGTTATGTGCTGGTTGTAATAGATTACAACGTGTGAGAACAGACTAGTTTTCAATCCCTTAACACATTGTACGAACAATCAAAACGTACCATAAGATGCAGCGTGAAAAGCTCTACAATCTCCATATGGTCACTTATTTTATAGCTGCACTTTTTGTTTTCAAAATCGATAAAGTTTTGAGGGATCAAATTTTGGGTATTGAGAAAATTGGTCCCATAGAATTTTCCTTTTTTTGAAAACAATTACAAA